TTCAGGGATTGGGGTGAGGGGGATGAAGGCATAAAGGGGTTTGGATAAGGGGGTCTGGATAAGGGGGTTTGGGATCAGGGGTTTGGGGCTTGGGATAAGGGGGATTTAGGGATTGGGGTGAGGGGTAAAGGGATAAAGGGGGGTTGGGATAAGGGGATTTGGGATAAGGCGGTTTGGGATTGGGGTGACCGGAATAAAGGGGGGATATGGGATCAGGGGATTGGGATGAAGGGGTTTGGGACTGGGATGAGGGGGATAAAGGGGTAAAGGGGTTTGGATAAGGGGGTTTGGATAAAGGGGTTTGGGATAAGGGAATTTGGGATTGGGGTGAGAGGGCTGGATTGGGATCCAGGAGGGATAAACGGGATATCGGGAACAGGGAGTGACCCAGGGATGGGGGGATGTGGAGCAGGGATGCATCATCCCGAATTCCTGATCCTGAATTCCCGAATCCCCAGTTCCCAAATCCCGCATTTCTGATCCCGAATCCTGCATTCCTCATCCTGCATTCCTTAATCCCGCATCCCCGATCCCGCATTCCCAGATCCCGCATTCCCGAATCCCTCAGTGCCAGCCCAAACCCCAAATCCCTGTGTCCCGAATCCTGCAGCGTCTCCCATCCCAAATCCCAAATCCTATGGCATCCCGAATCCCAAATCCTCCATCCCAAATCCCAAACTCCCCCATCCCAAATCCCGAATCAATCCCAAATCCCATCCCCTATCAGAATGCCAGGATTCCGGGATGCCGGGATTTTGGGATGTCCGGGTTTGGGATGTCGGGGTTTGGGATGTTGGGGATTTGGGATGTCGAGGTTCGGGGACCTCCAGGGTTTGGGGTGACAGAATCCCGGGAAGCCGGCACTTGGAATGTTGCAGCTCCAGAATCCCCGCCTGCCGGGCTTTGGGGGTGTCGAGGTTTTGAGATTTGGGATGCTGGGGATTTGGGATGTTGGGGATTTGGGATTTTTGGGTTTTGGGATTTGGGATATCGGGGTTTTTGGGATTTGGGGCTGCCAGTTGTAGGGATGCCGGAACCCCCAGAATTCCGGCGCTGGCAATGCCAGCGTTCCACAATCCCAAATTTGGAATATTTGGGGGCTTTTGGGCTTGCTGGGGTTTGACCCCTCGGGGTAGGTTTGGTTTTTTGGGTGCCGCTTTTTGGGATGCCGGAATCCAAAACCGCTGGGATTTGGGGTTTGGGATTGATTTGGGATTTGGGATTTAGGATTTGGGATTGATTTGGGATTCAGGAGCCGGCGGGAGCTGCCACACTTCGGGGTGGGGTGGCTGCGCCACCTCCGGCCGTGTCCTTTTCCCCTCATCCCCTTTTCCTCCTTCCCCTTCCCTTTCCCGATGATCCCGATGATCCCGCCGGTCCCGCCGATCCCGATCCCGCCGATCCCGCCGTTCCCGCCGCCTCTCCCGCCTTGTTTAATGTTTCAATTTGGAGGAAGCCAAACATTCAATCAGGCGGATTAAACGTTTAATGCCGCCCATCGCTCACTGTCGCTGTCGCTGTCGCCGTGCGGGGAGCGCGGCCCGGCCCCCGCGGGGTCCCCGCGCATCGGGGGGGTCCCCTCGGTGTCCCCTGGATGTCCCCTCCGTGTCCCCTGGATGTCCCGTCGGTGTCCCCTCGGTGTCACACGGGTCCTCACAGCGTCCCCGCGGCTCTGGGGGGTCCCCTCGGTGTCCCCTCAGTGTCACACGGGGTCCCCTTGGTGTGCCCTCCGTGTCCCCGCAGGGTCCCCGCGGCTCGGGAGGGGTCCCCTCGGTGTCCCCTCGGTGTCCCCCCGGTGTCACACGGGTCCCCGCGGTGTCCCCTGGGTGGCCCAAAAGGGTTCCCGCAGCTCGGGGGGTCCCCCGGATGTCACACGGTGTCCCCACTGTGGCCCTAAAGGGTCCCCACGGTGTCCCCGCGGCTGCCGGGGGTGCCCGCAGTGTCCCACAGTGTCCCCTCGGTGTCCCCACAGTGTCCTGCGGTGTCCCCTGACTGTCCCTTCGGTGTCCCCACGGCTCCCGGGGGTCCCCTCGGTGTCTCCTCGGTGTCCCTTTGGTGTCCCAAACCGCTCCTCGTGGGTCCCCTCGGGTCCGGTGTCCCTCGTGTGTCCCCGTGCCCCGGGGGGGACCCCTGGGACACCGTGGGGACACCGTGGGGACACCGTGGGGACCCTGGGGACCCTGGGGAGCCCTGGGCGGTTCGCGGGACAGGGACAGGGATGGGGGGGCTCTGTCGGGGGGGCTCCGACTCCGCCCCTCCCTCTCCTTAATTACCCTGCGCTGATTAATTGGGGGGGAGGTGGCCCCGCCCCCTCCGGCCACTCCGACCCCCAGGGGGGCTCAGGGGGGGTCCCGGTGAGGGGGGGCGGTGCCGGTGTCGGGGGGGGGCGGGACCGGGAATAGTCCCGGTGTCGGTGCCGGGGGCTCTGAGGGGCGTCCCTGTCCCGGTCCCGGTCCTGAGGGGGTCCCGGGGGGTCCCGGGGTGAGTCCTGGTCCCGGTTCCGATCCCAGTGCCGGTCCCGGTTCCGATCCCGGTTCCTGGTGCCGGTGCCGGGGGAGGGTCCCAGTTCCGATCCCGAACCCGGTTCCCGGTGCCGGTTCCTGGTGCCGGTTCCCGGTTCCGATCCCGGTGCCTGTTCGGATCCCGGTGCCGGTTCCAGGGAAGGGTCCCGGTTCCGATCCCGGTTCCGATCCCGGTTCCGATCCCGGTGTCAGTGCCGGTGCCGGTTCCTGGGGTGGGTCCCGGTTCGGATCCCGGTGCCGGTTCCCGGTGCGGGTGCCGGTTGCCGGTGCCGGTTCCCGGGGTGGGTCCCGGTTCCGATCCCGGGGTGGGTCCCGGTGCCGGTGCCGGTTCCCGGGGCCGGTGCCGGTTCCCGGTGCCGGTGCCGGTTCGGATCCCGGTGCCGGGGGGGTCAGCGGAGCGCAGCGGCCGCCGCGCTGATCAATATTCGATTTAGGTGCTAATTCGCCGCC